TGAATCATGAATTATTTGGAAAAGCAACTAGTAACTTTGTGCTACTTCTTATTACATCTTACTCTGTTTTGAGTTATTTATTTATGACTCATTGTAGCTCTAGAGACTATAATACAGCTGGCTGTGTTTGTGTCTGTGCTCCTGGATGAAAGAAAAAGATAAATGAGGCAAGAATGCAAAGTTAAGGTTGTGATAGATTTCTTATGATATGCTGCATTAACATCCTGGAAGTCTTAAAGTTTGTTCATCTGCTGACTTGGTTTGTTTTTGTCAGTGAACAGAGGTCGGAGGATAATATTCCTGATGAAAAAGGTCTGATGAAAAATATCTCCAACTGAGCTGAAAGAGTTGTGTGCATTTAGTCTCTGCTTGTCAATCACTTTAAGGGAGGAAAAAATATCTGTTTATGGACACGTCATGTTTCTTAACATGAGTCAGTTTAACAAATTCAGAAGAAAGACAAAACTTTTCCCTCAAAAAAATTCTGAAGTAATTTGAAGCGAGGTGGAACTTAAACCTCTTATCTTTTGACATTTTTGTAGTCATGCATGATTACATAAAGTCTACATCATTTCTATATCCTGCCCTTTTTTCTGCTCTGAATTTAGTCTTGCCATATTAATTCAGTAGACTACAGAGCATATGTAAAGATGCATCATTCTGCAGAGCACATTTACCTGCAGCACTACTGTTCAGCAATATGTGTGTTTAGAATATCTTACTCCCCAGATATCCACTCTTCCTTCTGATCCTCCTTTGCTCCCATCTCCCTCCTTTTACACCTTCACCCACCTGCATACGCTCGTAAACACTTCACTCTCCAATCTCCATCTTTCGTTCCTCCTCTCATCAAGTAGCAGCTTATTGAAGAAAGGGAATGTGGAGGTTTAATTGTAGATGAAAAGGGAGCAGTAATGAGCCGACAGAAGCGCAGAGAAGGATGAGTGAGGGTGTGGGCAGAAAAAGGCGAAAAAAGTGAGAAAGTTAGTCAGGTGGTGAGAAAAGAGGAAAGCAGCAGGATGAGAGATGAAGAAAGAGAGCAACAGAAAGCACAGAGTGAGCTGAGGCAATCAGCCTGCAGTCTGCTGTGTCAGAAGTTCACACAAGCTCCAGTAATTTATATCCTTTGCCCACAGCACTTTCTCTCCCTCATTTACACACACATAAACACCCATACATGAACTGGCATACCAAAGACTTGACATATAAATCCTTGTCTTTGCATGCCTCAGTGTAGTAATGTGAGACAGCAGCATTTCATTTGATGAAATCTTAAAAAAAAATCTGTTTGCTGAAATTTAGTCATACCATTTTTTGCGTGTGTGTATGTGTGTGTGTTTAACAACACATTAAAATAAGAATATACTGGTACTTTTCATCCATCCATCCATTTTCTACCACTTAACCATATTTGGGTCACAGAGGCAACAGGTCCAGAAAGAGAGAGAAAACTAGACATCCTTTTCCCCAGTGACACTTTCCAGCCAGTTCACCCCATTTTCACGCAACACCCCCCACAGAATGCCTCAAAGAACTTGGTCATAAGCCTTCTCCAGATCTACAAAACACATGTAGATCAGAGAAGCAAACTCCCATGACCCCCTTAGCAATTCTGCAAAGGTAAAGATCTGGTCCGCTGTTCCATGACCAGGATGGCAGACGCATTGCTCCTTTTGATTATATAGATTGACAGTTGGTCAGAGTCTCCCTTCCAACACTCTGAATGTTGTCATGTCAACTATGACAGCCCCACAACATCAAGAGCCTTCAGTATCTCTGGGCAAATCTCATCCACCCCTGGCGCCCTGCCACCGAGGAGCTTTATGATTATCTCGGTGACCTCTGCCATGGTAATGGACTCATCTTCCCCAGATTCCTCAGCCTCTGCCTCCTCAAACATAGACATGGTGGGTGGTTTAAGTAGATCCTCAAAGTGCTCCTTCCACTGTTCAACAATATCCTCAGATCAAGTCAGCAGTTCCCCACCCAAACCAAGCACAGCCTGAGATAAGGTCTGCTGTCATTCCCTGAGTCGCTGAACCATGGACCAAGGACCATAGACCAGATATTTCCAATTCACCCTCATTATGCATTTGGGTTTACCAGGTCTGTACCGCAGCCTCCCCCTCCACCGGATCCAACTCACCACCAGGTGGTGATCAGTTGACAGCGCTGCCCCTCTCTTCACCCGAGTGTCCAAGACATAGGACCGCAGATCCGACAACATGATTGCATAATCATCGACTTTTGGCCTAAGATGGCCTGGCACCAAGTACACTTATGAACCACCCTATGCTCAAACTTGGTGTTCATTAGGGAGAACCAAGGCTTAACAGAGAAGTCCAATACGCCAACACCATGCAGGTTCAGATCAGGGAGGCCGTTCCTCTCATTCACCCCCTTCAAGATAACCATCATTGCCCACATGGGCATTGACGTCACCCAGCAGAACGATGGAATTCCTAGATGGCACTCCTTCCAAGACACCGTCCAGAGACTCCAGCAAGGCTGGGTAATCTGAACGTATGTTTGGTGCATAAGCACAAACAACCGTCAGAACCTTCCATCCTGTAGCCCCAAGCCACAGAGAGGCAACCTTCTTGTTCACAGAAGGAACTCCTACACCAAGGCATTTAGGCAGGGGCTTGAGTATCCCCACACACACCTAACGCCACTCTCCCTGGGCAACATTGGAGTAGGAAAGAGTCCAGCCTCTCTCCAGGAGTTGGGTTCCAGAGCCCAAGCTGTGTGTAGAAGTGAACCCAACTATATCTAGTTGGTACTGCTCAAACTCACACGCAAGCTCTGGCTCCTTACCTGCTAGTGAGATGACATTCCATATCCCTAGAGCTAGTCTATGCCACCATGAATCAGCATGGCCAGGGACTCTACCTCGTCTGCAGCCTGACATGTACAGCTCTCAACTTTGAACGAATCTCCCCGCAGGTTATGTGTCCACATGGGGGTGACTTCCTGTTATTTTTTTGGGATTGGCCCAGCCGAGCCCCAAGAGCCAATGCTCAACGAGGTGCTTGACCACCAGGCGCTTGCTGGCAAGCTCCTTCCCAAGGCCTGGCTCCAGGGAGGTACTCGTTTCCCTTTTCCGAGCAAGGTTTTCTGTTGTATTTGTTGTTTTTTTTCATCAAGGTTTTAAATCGCTCTTTGTCTGACACCTCCCCTGAGGCTTGTTTGCCATGGGAGACCCTACCAGGGGCTGATGCCCCCGACAACATAGTCCCCAGACTCACCGGGGTACTCATAACCCTCCACCATGTTAAGGTAGCGATTCTGCGGAGAGGAGAATATACATTTTTATGAGAATAAACTTTTAAATGATTTATTAGGCTTGGTAATAAGTTATTCATGAGTTTGTAAACATTTTATAAAGCATTAATACGTTTTTATAAAGCACCGTCTGTAAAGCATTATTCATATTCATTGCACCTGTATTGCGAGCTGCTAGCTTAGCGTTACGTCAGTGCTGACAGGTGTGGGTGGGTTGCGCATGGTTCGGTAGACGGGGCGAGGTGCTTTTATAATGGTAGGGAAAACACTGCTCACTATTTGCACAAATTAAGTGTGATACTTTTGTCTTTTAGGTAAATGTCATTTTTACTAGCTGTGCAATTTACTTTTTCAAAATAAAACCTTTTATATAATAAATATTAATATTGCAATATCCCCATCACTCGCACAGTGATTGCTGGACATGGGCATAGCACTGACATAGCACTAAGCTAGCAGCGCGCAATACAGGCTCTCTAGCTAAAAAGCTAAAGGCAGCATTCACATTGCCTCTTCTCTCAAACTGAACATCCCCCCCCCCCCCACACACACACACACACACTCAAAAACCATCTGTATAAACAGCGCACAACTCAAACGTGCCATGCTAAGCTAGCAGCGTGCAATACAGACGCTCTATCTAAAGGTGCCTCTTCCACTTTGGAGTAAGCTGTTAGGGGAAAAATCAGTTTTGTGTTGTGTGTTTCCTTGACTGATGAAGCCTTCTGGATAGAAGGTGAAACGTTCCAGCACAAAAAAAAATGTCCAGATGATCTGACTGAAAATTGTTGGATTGTATACCTGGATTATTGAGCATGGACTTTGTTGGTTTTGAACCAGTTTGACATGACTGTCGACGAGGAAGAGGGCCAGTAACAGAGGAGGGAGTGTGCCAAAGACACCATCTTAGCACCAACATAACTGGTTTGTTCCACTTTAAGCTGTTGGGAGAAGAATCAGTTTTGTGTTGTGTGTTTCCTTGACTGATGAAGCCTTCTGGATGGAAGGTGAAACGTTTCAGCACACACAAAAAAAGAAACTGTCCAGATGACCTGACTGAAAATTGTTGGATTGCATACCTGGATTATTGAGCATGGACTTTGTTTGTATTATTATTATTATTATTATTATTATTATTATTATTATTATTATTATTGTTGTTGTTGTTGTTGTTGTTGTTGTTGTTGTTGTTGTTGTTGTT